GCTAATCCAGACCTCTCCTCTTTTGCTAGCTAGAATCCTCCTTCCAATTTCAGTTTTAATTTATTTGTCATCAATAAGATGCTAACATACATAAGTTTTAGAAAAAGCTAAAGAATAATACTATCAGGTAATCATATCTCCCCTCAACCTTTGTTGTGCTAAGCTGACTTACGGTACCTGAGCATTTCTGTTTTACCAGACTGCTGCAATATACAACATGTAATTTCTTCAGTTAGGCATTTACAGTATACTGCCCTCAGGAAAGCAATTATTGCAGACCACCAAAGAATTATTCAGCTTATAGGACTAGGCAGATTTTTTAATACATGATTAGCATGCTGCTACTCATGTGAAGGCCAAAGTATGGGGATACAGATGAAACAGATGGAGCTGCAGAGGAATGGCTGGCCAGCCCTGTGCCACAATTGAGTACAGTATCACAAGGACAACTATTTATCCTTAACTGATAAGTTATTAGTATCAGCTCAGTGTTACAGAGTTAGTTAGCCAGGCTTACCTGCTGACAGTTTCTGTCCTGTATCACCTCTGCAGCTCTGATGGTGATGTCTTACCAGAGAGTTTTGTGTTTGTGACTGATCATATTAACCAAACCAGAGCTCGAGTTCAGCAACAGAGAGGACATTGCACCTTTCTAAAATACAAGGGCTTCCGTGAATCCTGTACTCAGCTAAGTCTGGCACAGACACTGGAGCTAGGTGGAAGACAAGTGGAGGCACAAGGAAACACTGGAGGGATTCAGATGGTGGAGTATTTTGTTGAGGAGGCGTAGTTCAGCAGCTGCACTGAAATATTCGGTGTCCCGAGTTCATCTGGCTTGGGTGTTTTATTGCTTCTCCTTCATCTAGATTAACCCAACACATTTGATTTGGCCTCTATAGAGTTACCATGACTTATTGGTGAGTCATCACTTGCTGGTCCTCTAATTCAAGAGATATGGGAAATCATGTTTGTCCACAAAAGAGACAGGATTCAGCTACAGGTTAGCTCTAGACAGCTAAACTATGTCCCGGGGAAAAAATAATAATAATTTTTAAAAAGTTAATTTTGGAAGGAAAGGCAGTTTTGGATTCATTTGGCTGGATTCATTTTCTGGTTGATCCCTTTCTAATTCAGAAGTAATTGCTTATGATTTCTTGTAGTCATTTCTTACACATTTGTTGTGTAGTAGCTCTCTAGATAAGGAATTGTAAAGCCAAATCCAGCACCATTTGTAAACAGCTCATATAGAGTAAGGACTAAGTAAACAGACAGAAAAATTATGACAGGCATCGTAACATACTGGTCAAAATATTAACTGCACTGCTTTGATGTCACCATCTCCAAAAGTAACAAATTAGTCTATTAATTTACATGTTACTCTCCTTGCATGCCAAAAGCAAAACTTTTGCATACAAACGCTAAAACCAAACATACATCACACTTTCTGACACAAGTTATTTCTTGGTTTGAATGTTCAAATCCTGGGACAGTCAAATTGATACTGGAGAAACAGCAAGAGATAAGAACAGAAAATAAATAGCTAGAAGAGTAAACAGTGTGTGAAAGAATGCAGCCTGTATCATTCGGCTCAAGCAATTAACACCAGATCATGCATGGCTGCATTGGTAGCATCAGTATGACTCAAAGGGTACAATCTAGTAATGTATCTTCATCAAAAGGCAGCAATATTTTATCAGATCAGAGCAGGAAATATACACTGACATTATTTTACACTGGTAGGGCTATTTTAAAATAAGCATTTCCTTCAATATGAAGCTGTGGTGCTAAATTCAGCCCTCGAGCAAAGACTACTACATGCATGCGTATTTCAAAATTTCCCATTTCTACTACATATTCTGCTGCTGGATAGGGAATCACACTGCAGTTTTACTTGGTGTACATATGAAGCAAGTTCCCTGTTCAGTATCCCATTAAACAGCCTTTAACTCTCATTACTTAACTTAAACAGATTTTACCTGCGATGAAGCTGAATAATTTAAAATAATTTAAAAACAAGAAAGGAAAAAAATCCAGAATAAGCCCAGTAAGGTCTCTCAAAGACTTTCTGAATCTGGTGTTAAAAGATAAATGTCCCACAAAAACTGAGGAGCTGAAAACCCTGGATTGAGCCCTTCAGGTCCCTGGCATCTAAGGGGAAAACAAGCCAGGTCTGCACTGGGACTTCACCACAAAAAAAAAATAAAATCCATGCAGAGTGCCAACTAAATGCTCCAAGCACGCACATAAGTAACTCACAAGGCTCTATTTCATTCTGCTGTAACATTTCCTATGAGACAAGGTAGGTCTCAGTACATTTAGTAAAGCTTAATTTTATCATGAGATCTGCATTTATTTAGGTTTTCTGAAGAGGTGGACACATTAGCTGAGATCTTATCTCTGCACACCTCCAACACAGCAACATCAGCGAACGCCTGTGCGTGAACACAGCCCTAAGGTGTCCAAAGAGGCGTTTCACCCTTTGCATGGGCTGGATGCGCCAAAAGGAGCATCATCATGCCCACCTGCTGCTTCTTTAAAATCAGGCCATCAAATGAGGCCACTTCAAAGATAAAGAGTCCTTTGCAGTCATGAACGATCAGTATGAGCTTTGGGGAAAATCCCAGGTAACTCTCAACCACAGCCTCTAACAGCAAGCGACAGGATTTTCCATCTATCGCAGATCTCTAAAACCCTCTTACAAACACACCATTTAACTCTTAGTTCAACATTTTTTACCCAAAACCAAGGTTATTCCAGGTAACAAGCGGCTGTCTCACAATCTGACATCCCATTCCTTTCCTATTCCCTAGCCACCTATTCTTAACAATATCATTTTAGGGGAATCAGATCTGTGTTTTAAAAGCTTT